AATAGTGTCCACCTCAGTTAATTGGGGAGGCTGAGCCACTGGGCCCTATAGGACACCTAGCACACAAAGCCACTCTACCAATACAGGGAAGCAGTCAAAATGCGGAGACAAAGAAACAGGACACAAATGACAGAAATGGAGGAAAGCAAACTACTAGATATAGAGAGAGGAATAGGGACAGAGAGAAAGAGTGAGAGGGAGAAACACCAATGTGAGAAACATCATTTGGCTGCCTCCCATATGCATCCTGACCACAGATTGAAACCAAAACTTAGGTATGTACCCTGACTGGGAATCAAACCCACAACCTTTTGGCGTATGTGATGACACTCTAACCAAATGGGATCTGGCCAGGGCTTATTTTATGTTTCAATTATAGTTTGCATTCAATACTTTTTTTATATTAGTTTCAGGTGTACTGCACAGTGGATAGACCAGGGGTCCTCAAACTACGGCCCGCGGGCCACATGCAAATACAAATATTATTTTTCCCTAATATTTGTTCCCTTTTGTTTTGTTACTTCAAAATAAGGTAAGTGCAGTGTGCATAGGAATTTGTTCATAGTTTTTTTTTAAACTATAGTCCGGCCCTCCAACGGTCTGAGACACAATGAACTGGCCCCCTGTTTAAAAAGTTTGAATACCCCTGGGATAGACATTCATGTAAATTACAAAGTGTTCCTTCCAATAATTTAAGCAACCACCTGGCATCATAGTCATTACAATACTGTTAAGTAAACTCTCTATGCTATTGCTCCCTTTATTATTATGAAGTGGCCTTCCTTATCTCTTGTTATGTCCTTCACTTTGAGATCTAATTTGTCAGATATAAGTATTGCTACTCCAGCTTTTTTTTCATTTCCATTCGCCTGAAAAACCTTTTTCCATCCATTCACTATCAGTCTATGTGTGTCCTTTGTACTGAGGTCGGTCTCTTATAGACAGCAGATATGTGCGTCATTTTTTCTTATCCACTCCGCTACCCTATGTCTTTTGATTGGGGCATTTAATCCATTTACATTTAAAGTTATTATTGATAAGTACTTGTCTGTCGCCATTTTTATTCTTTACGCCTGTGTTCCTTCTTCGCTTCCTATTTCTTCTTTTTACAGCAGACCCTTTAGCATTTCTTGCATTGCAGCTGCTTTTAAGATTCTTACTTTGTCGTTGGTGTTTGCCTATTTAATTATAATGTGCCTTGGCGCTGGTCTTTTGGGGTTCATTTTGTTTGGGACTCTGTGAGCTTCTTGGATTTGTGTGAGTCTTTTCTTTCCTATATCACAGAAGTTTTCTGTCATTATTTCTTCAAACAGGTTTTCTATTCCTTGCTCAGTTTCCTCTCCTTCTGGCACCCCTATTATGTGGATGTTATTTCCTTTCGTGATGTCCCAAAGTTCCCTTCCGCTCTCCTCCTGTTTTTCAAGTTTTTTTTCTACATGCTGCTCTGCTTGGGTATTTTTTTCTACCTTGTCTTCTAGCTTACTGATGCAGTCCTCTGCTTCTTCTAGTCTACTGTTGATGCTTTCTATTGAGTTCTTTATAGCAGCAATGTCATTTTTCATTTATTCTTTGTTCTTCCTCATTTTCTCTTGGTTCTTAACCATATTGTTGAATTTGTCTTCTATTCTTTTCAGTGACCTCATGACCATTTCTCTGAATTCTTTCTCTGACATATTGCTTGCCTCCATTCCGTTTCCTTCCTTTTCTGGTGATGACTCCTTTTCTTTCATTTGTGGGCTGTTTCTTTGTCTCCCTTCATGATCTCTCTTCTCCAGGTGTTTGATTTTGTAGCTCTCTCTCTCCTTTTCCCAGGTGAAATCTGACCTTTCTGTGAGACAGTGCAGAGCTCATCTGAGTCCATATATTCGCGCTGCTAGAGATCTGGTATTCCTGGGTTCTTTTATTCACACTGCTTGAGATCCGGTTCTCGAAATTGCTTAACTTTTTAAAAAACAACCAAACTGTTTCCTAAAAAGGCCATACCACTCTTCATCCTCACCACAAATATATGAGAATTCCAAGAGTTACCATATCCTTGTCTATATTCATTACTGTCTATCTTTTTTACTGTAGCTATTATGATTGGTATGGAGTGATATCTCATTAATTACTGTATACAGTATAAGGTACCTTTCTGACTGTATCTATTTAATGGGTACCTTTTTGACTATAGCTATTCTAATTAGCATAAAGTAACACTCATTAATTATTGTATATGTTATAAGGAAAGGGTCTAAATCAGCCGTGGGCAAACTACGGCCCGCGGGCTGGATCCGGCCTGTTTGAAATGAATAAAACTAAAAAAGACTGTACCCTTTTATGTAATGATGTTTACTTTGAATTTATATGAGTTCACACAAACACTCCATCCATGCTTTTGTTCTGGCCCTCCGGTGCAGTTTAAGAACCCATTGTGGCCCTCGAGTCAAAAAGTTTGCCCACCCCTAGTCTAAATTAACCTTCTGCACGAAATATCTCAACTAACCAAGCACCACTTGTTTAAAAAACTGTTTTTACCTCTGAAATGCTTTAGCACTTTCATCAAAAATAAACGGTTCATTGAAGATTCCTTTTTAATCCTCAATCATATTATATGCACACTGTGTACAGATCTTAGGTACAGGCCATTTTTAAATAACAAAACTGTTGCCTTGCAGGTGTAGCAAACCTGTTCATAAATATCAATTTATTTCTGGGCTCTCAATTCTGTCCCAATGATCTATATAGCTATATTTTTCTTTGATAGCACTAAAATATGTGTAACTATTCTAATTAACTCACTCTCCTCCACTACATGATACTCAATAAGGACAAATAATTTATCTTCCCACCATTCTATGTTAGAATTAGCATAATGTATAGCTGACCAGTATTTAATAACTAGAGGCCTGGTGCACAAAATTCGTGTGGGTGATGCGTGAGGCCTGGCCGGCCCGGGGGGGTGGTCCCCGGGGACAGCTCCCTGCCACGTGGCCTCTCATCCTCCAACAGGCCCTTTAAGCCCAGCCTGCACCTTCTCCAATCTGGGACCCCTCGGGGGATGTCTGATTGGCAGTTTAGGCCAGACCCCGGGAATTGGGCCTAAACTGACAGTCAGTCATCCTCTCACAATCCAGGACCACTGGCTCCTAACTACTCACCTGCCTGCCTTCCTAATTGCCCTTAACTGCCCCCTCACCAGCCTGGTCACCCCTAGCTGCCTCTGTCTGCTGGCCTGATCGCCCCTAACTGTCCTTCTTCCCACCTGGTCAACCCTAACTGCCCCCTCGTTGGCATGGTCGCCCCTAACTGCCCTCCCCCCCACCGCTGGCCTGTTCACCCCTAATTGCCCCCATGCTGGCCCAGTCACCCCTTACTGCTCCCCCTGCCAGCATGGTCACCCCCAACTGCCCACCCCACTGGCCTGGTCACCCCCAACTGCCGCTCCCTGCCAGCCTGGTTGCCCCACGGAGCCTGCTATTCAGTCGTTTGGTCATCCCTCACTAACTCCCCTGCTGGCCTTGTCGTCCCACGCAGCCTGCTGTTCAGTCATTACTGTTACTGTGACGGCGTCCAGGACAATCTGCATATTCCTCTATTATTAGTATAGATAAACGACTGGATCAATAAATAAATTAAAGTAGCTATCAAAACCCATATAAATCACGTAAGTAGTTTAGAAATAATGATAAATGTAATGTGCAAGTAATAAAACATGAAAATCAATACCATTCCTAAATACCAGTTGAATTTATACACATAAAAGGCTAAGTAACGGTGTAAGTAATTTCTTTCAATGTGCACGAATCTGTGCACTAGGCCACTAGTCTATATAATAAAAGAGGTCACTATAGCAAAAAAATAACAACACAAAAATCTTAATATTGTTGAGGAAGGAATAGATTTTGGTTTTAACCAGACATGGAAAACATTAATGACAAAGGGAAAAACTGAGGAAGTTAGGAATTTGTCTTCAAGATACCATTAATAGAGTGAAAAGGAAAGCCACAAAGTGGGAGAAGATATATGCAATATAAGTATCCAACAAAGAAATTGAATCTAGAATTCAGAAAGAATTTCTAAAAATCTATAGAAATAAGACATACAACCCAATTAAAATATGGTAAAACTTGAAACAGAATTTCAGAAAGAGCTATCCATATAGCCCATAAAAATATGAAAATCATTCATTATCATCAGTAAGCAGGGAAATGTAAAATAAAATCACAATGAGATAACAAAATGAAATGCACATTAGATTTTGTTAGAATCTCCTAAACTTAAGCATGTGAGGTTCCAATAATTCTATTCCTAAGAATATGACCAACAGGAATGAGTAAGTAAGGGCATAAAAAGATATGAACAAAATGTTCAAAGAAACTATGATTATAAAAAAAACTGGGAACAACCTAAATATATAGTAACAGGATAAACAAACTGTGTTATTTTCACACAACTGGACACTGTAAAGCAGTGAAAAAGAATGAGTGTAGCCCTGGCCAGTGCTACTCAGTGGTTAGAGCATCAGCCTGAGCAACAAAGGGTCATAGGTTAGATTCCTGGACAAGGGCACGTACCTAGGTTTTTGGTTCAGTCTTCAGCCCCAGTGAGAGTATGTGCAGGAGGTAACCAATTGCTGTGAGACATATCGGTGTTTCTCTTTCTCTCTCTCTCTCTCTCTCTGTCTCTCTCTCTCTCTCTCTCCTCTTCCCTACTTCCCTTCCACTCTCTCTAAAAATCAATGGGAAAAAATATCCTTGGGTGAGGATGTTAAACAACAACAAAAAAAATGAGTGCAAAAACCTGGAAGAAATGCAGACATTTGTGAAGCTAAAAAAAAAAAAAAAAGTCTGACGAAAGGCTTTATCTGTATGACATTCAAAAGAGGCAAAACTAATCTACAGCGATAAAAGTTAGAACTAGATTACCTTTCCAAGAAAACTGACTAGAGCCTTCTAGAGCCCTTACATATTTTGCATGTTCACATGGGTAGGAGTTACGTGTGTGTGTGTGTGTGTGTGTGTGTGTGTGTGTGTATTTTATTTTATTGTTGACAGTATTACAGATGTCCCCCAATTCAGGTGTCTATATTTATTAACCATTGCCACACTGTACACCTTTTGTAGACTTGATGCCTATTATATTTCATAGTTTGTGAATATGTTTCAATCTGTTCTACAGAACTTGTTCCAGAATTTCAATGCTAAAAATCAAAATTTAAACATTAAAGCAATTAATTTATGCTAATTATGAAAGTACTTACCAAAAAAGAATTTGATTGCCACTGTATCTCTCATAGCGTGCTCTTGCAGACATTAATCTATTTTAAAAAGTAAAAATTTTCAAGATTTTTACCTTAAATTTTGTTTAAAAAATTCTGTTATAATCACCTTAACAGAAAATGATCAGATTTACCACTACATTTTTCACTAAACTATAAGAGTTTAAAATATAAACATTAAATGCAACATCTTCAAAAACAACTAGATATTAAGTGGCAACAAGTACAACACTCTTAATGTACATTCACACTAAATAATGTATTTTTTAATTATGAAAAAATAAGCTGCCAATTCACACTAAATCCTTGTGTGAAGAACAGTTACTGACAGATGCAAACACACACACACACACAAATTCTGTTGAATAATTATATAAATTTACTTTCATTTAAAAAACAGTATTGCTAAATTTTCTAATTTTCAGTTTTCTTCTTTCTTTCTTTTTTTATATTTTTATTGATTTTTTTACAGAGAGGAAGGGAGAGGGATAAAGAGTTAGAAACATCAATCAGCTGCCTCCTGCACACACACCCCCCCCCCCCCCCCCCCCCCCCCCCCCCCCCCCCCCCCCCCCCCCCCCCCCCCCCCCCCCCCCCCCCCCCCCCCCCCCCCCCCCCCCCCGCCCCTACTGGGGATGTGCCCACAACTAAGGTACATGCCCTTGACTAGAATCGAACCTGGGAACCTTCAGTCTGCAGGCTGATGCTCTATCCACTGAGCCAAACCGGTTAGGGCTCTTCTTTCTTTTTTATTTGATACATACTAACACCTGAATTGTTATAAAGGAAACAGAAAATAATAAATTCCAAAGAATGAATTAGCAATCTGGTCCATAACCCAAAACTTAAGGAACAGCCAGAGCCTGACTGGTGTTGCTCAGCGGTTGAATATCAGTCAACCTATGAAACAGGAGGTCACAGTTCGATTCCTAATCAGGACACGTGCCTGGGGTTGCAGGCTTGATCCTCAGCAGGGGGCGTACAGGCGGCAGCAGATCAATGATTCTCTCTCATCACTGATGTTCCTATCCCTCTCTCCCCCTCTCTCTGAAATCAATAAAAACATAAAAAAATAAAATAAAAACAACAGCCAGAAAAAGAGGTGGATAACCTGGCCATGGAAGGAAAACACATTTCAATTAAAATGTTATGCAAAGTTAAAATAGCAGTTAATAGCACTCAAAATTGTTTTTACAAATTCAGGGTGGAGCAAAAGTAGGTTCATAGTTGTTTGTATGGAAAATAGTTCAATAATTAATAATAATATAAAAATAAACTGTTTTGCATACTCACAACTGTAAACCTACTTTTGCCATACCCTGTGTAATCTCAATGACATAAGGTAGAAGGAGAGAAAGCTAATTTTACAAAAGAAAAATGAGGTTTAGAAAGTTTATGGATCTTGTCCACAAGAACTTATACCAAATCAAGAATCCTGCTCCTTCCACTTTAATACAACTCTACATCATACCATGCCCATTTTCAGCATCTGACATAGTAAATATCAATATTAACTATAAAAACAAAACAAAAAATTTTTATTTTCACATGCTAGCACAGTGCTGTGCTTTGCTTTACATAGTTACAGTTGACCCTTGAACAACATGGGTTTGAACTGAGCAAGTCCACATATATGCCAATTTTTTTCAGTAAGTACTATAAATACATTTATCTTCTTCATGATTTTCTGAATAACATTTTTTGTCTAGCTTACTGCATTGTAAGAATACAGTATATAATACATATAACATATAAAATATGTGTTAGCCCTGGCCAGTGTGGCTTAGTTGGTTGAAGCATCGTCTTGTGCACCTGAAAGGTTGCAGGTACGATTTTCGGTCAGGGCACATACCTTAGGTTGTGGGTTCAATCCTGTTAAGGCGCGTATGGGAGACAACCAGTTGATGTTTCTCTCTCTCTGCCCCAGCTCTGCCTTCCCCTCTCTCTTAAAAAAAATTAAAAAATGTTAAAATTTGTTACTCGACTGCTTATGTTATCAGTAAGGTTTCTGATCAACAGTAGGCTATTAGTAGTTAGAGTTTGGGGGAGTCAAAAGTTATACAGAAAAACTGGTATGAAAAACACAAATTCCTTATGCTCATTCTATAAAAAGTCCTTAAAAAGATTTGGGCCCTGCAATTATCTACCTAAACTCATTTGAATAACTCCACAGCACATCCTCTTAAACACAACATCACACTTACCTCAGCTGATGTTCTCTGAGGTTTGATAATATTTCCATTCCATGAAGATAAGAGTAAATAGTGTTTAAATCCTAAAGAACAGAAATTATTTTAGATTTCAAATATACTTTTTATAATATAATGATACCCCAACAACTATGATTATAAGCAAACAATCACTTACAACAGAACGGTGAACTATGAGAATCATAAAATCTCTGAATTATAGGGGATCTGAAAAGAACTCCCTCAACTCCCCTCAGCATGGCTGATGGCCTATACACAAATAATGCCAGAAATTAAAATCTCGCTATTTCATATGAAAGTCTATTTCATTTCTAAACAGATGTAACCTTTCTTCTTCAGTGACCTCCAAATATTTGAAAAGTTTTTTAAAGCTTATTTTTGTTTTTTCCCCCTCCAGATTATATAGTCTCAGTACTTGCAGGTTCCAAATATTTAAGCATCTGAATATTTGGAAGCACCTGACTGACCTCTGAAGATGACCCAGTTTGTCAATATTCCTCTTAAAATATGACTTTCTAAAAAATATTTCTCAAAAGGTACTCAAAGTGATTATTAATGTGCCAATAAAAAAATAAGACATCCAGTGAGACAATCCTATTTTTCACTCTGTGCACAGTGATTACATCTAGTTTAAATTATCTACATAAAATGTACTTCCTTATCTATACTAATAATAGAGGAATATGCAAAATGTCTGGGACGACTGAACAGCAGGCTGCCTGGGGCGACAAGGCTGGCAGGGAGGTTAGTGAGAAACAACCAAATGACTGAACTCCAGGCTGCATGGGGCAACCAGGCCAACAGGGAGCAGTTGGGGATGACCAGGCCGGCAGGGGGGGCAATAAGGGGTGACCAGGTTGGTGGGGAGGGGCAGTTAGAGGCGACCAGACCAACAGAGGGAGGCAGTTAGGGACAACCAGGCCAGCATGGGGTTAGTAAGGGGTGACCAGGCTGGCAGGAGGGGGCAGTTAGGGATGACCAGGCTGGTGGAGGGGGAGGGGGGAAGGCAGTTGGGGGCAACCAGGCTGGCAGGAGAAGCAGTTAGGGGCAATCAGGCCGGCAGGCAGAGGTGGTTAGGGGTGATTAGGCTGGCATGGGAGGCAGTTAGGGGTGATTAGGCAGGCAGACAGGTGAGCAGTTAGGAGCCAGCAGTCCCTGATTGTGAGACTAAACCGGCAGTCAGATATCCCCTGAGGGGTCCCGGATTGGAGAAGGTGCAGGCTGGGCTGAGGGGATCCCCTCTCCCATGCATGAATTTCATGCACCGGGCCTCTAGTTCTCTTATAAAGAATAATGCCTTAATACCAGGACAGACTGCTCCCAAACACTGCTTTCCTGCTTTGATACACAAGAGAATTATCAGACGACAGAAATCCTTGGGTGAGGACTTATAGAAAAAAGACAATACTGTTTCCAGAAAAGAAAGGGATAGCAGACTAGTGCCATCAGTAAAGATTTAAATTAAGCAAGGGTAATGAAGAAAGCAGATGAATCCTAAAAAATGACTGCAGACTGACACAGATATAACCAAATCCTAGCCCTGGTCATAGCTGCAGTTCCAGATATAATACTGTTGTTACAACTGATTAGTTAAGCTTCAGGTATTGATGTGGTGAAGGTATTTTCCATTCCAATTACAAAAAGGTTCAGAAACGGTTTGCATTCATGTGGTGCAATATTAATTTACAATTTTTCACGTGGAACAATATTAACTTACAATTTTGCCTTACTCTCTGTCATAAAATAATCTGAAGACATTCAGATCTCCTAACCCATTACATAGATGATCTCTTGCTGACTGGATAAAATGAATAAGAGAATAGGCAAGAGGTGGCTGATACCCTAGAGTTCTTGGTAACACATTCAGAAAGTGGGAGGTAAACTCTATGAGGACTCAAAGACCTGCCACTTTAATGTCCTTTTATGTGTTTTTTTTAATTTAACTTATCTTTATTGTTGAAAGTATTACAGATGTTCCCTTTTTTCCCCCCATTGATCCCCTCCACTCTGCTCTCACCCCCTCCCCAGGTCTTCACTGCACCATTGTCTGTCCATGGGTTATGCATATATGCATAGAAATTCTTTAATTAATCTCTTCCAGCCCCACCCACCCCATCCTCCACCAATTTAATGTTTTTAGGGGTGAATTGGTCAGGACATCCCCGCCAAAGTAAAAGAAAAATACTTGGGACTTCAGCTTTAGGTCAAGATGTAATAAGAGGGATTGAATTTATCCTCCACCTAAAACAGCTAAAAATCAAAACAAATATATGAAACATTTTTCAAGAGGTAAGACCTCAGGAAACAAAAGACAGTTTGAGGGGGGAAAATGAGTGAATTTACACGATTATCACACCTTACTGGTGGTACCAGTTGTCTGATATTATCTTGAGGAGAGGAGCTGGCAGTCTGGGGAACTTGAGTTTGGAGAACAGGAGAGACAGAGAGAGAGTGCTACATAGAGACAAAGTATGTTCTGGAAACCTATAGAGGGTCGCCTTTGAGTCTTAAGTTGAGTACTGATCATCTCATGCATGTAAAGAAACATCTGAAATCAGGGAAAGAACCATTAGAAAGAAACCAGCATCAAAATAAAAAGGGAACCCACAGTATGGGAAAATATACTTGCCAATGATACATCTGATAAAGGGTTAATATCCAAAATATATGAAGTACTCATACAACTCAACAAAAGGAAGACAAACAATACAATTTAAAAATGGGCAGAGGGCCTCTGCTCAGCCCCAACATGTAGGGCCTGGCCCCACCTCGGCAGCTGTCATACAAAGGGACTCCCCCAGTCTGGTGCTGTGCTCAGTACACTGTCAGCCAGGCCCAGCACTTCCTCTGAGGCTCCTGCCAGGCTCCTGCCTCCCCAACCCCTCCAGGGCCCAGGACCCACGCCTCTGTGTCCAGGAGCCACTGCCCGCCATCTAGCCAGCTAGGGCCTGTGCCCTTGAGCCCCACCCACCCCCAAACCAAACTCTTCAAATTGATGGAGTGTTGCCTGCCCAGATGGGGACGGCCAGACTACAAGGGCCTGACGCTCTCCTTCTTCTATCCCATCTGCTATCACAGTAGCTTTTCCAGGTAAACTCCACAGGCCAGCCTCCTCCTTCCCTCCATGGCCATCCCCCAGCCATTTTGTACCATTATATAAATATATATATAACGGTCAGAAGTCCTGAATACACACTTCTCCAAAGAGGGCATAAAAATGACCAAGAGACATATGAAATAATGCTCAAAGTGATTAATCATCAGAGAGATGTATATTAAAATGACAATGAGGTACTACCTCACACCTGCCAGAATGGCTATCATCGATAAATCAACAAACAAAGAAGTGCTGGCAAGGATGTGGAGAAAAAGGAAAACTACCACACTGTTGGTAGGAATGCAGACTGATACAACCACTATAGAAAACAGTTTGGTGCCGAAACCGGTTTGGCTCAGTGGATAGAGCGTCGGCCTGTGGACTGGGGGGTCCCGGGTTCGATTCCGGTCAGGGGCATGTACCAGGGTTGGGGGCACATCCCCAGTGGGGGATGTGCAGGAGGCAGCTGATCGATGTTTCTCTCTCATCGATGTTTCTAACTCTCTATCTCTCTCCCTTCCTCTCTGTAAAAAATCAATAAAATATATTAAAAAAAAAAAAAGAAAGAAAAGAAAACAGTTTGGAGATTCAGCAAAAAATTAAAAATGTAATTGCCATCTGACCCAGTGATCCTACTTCTAGGACTATATCCTAAGAAGCCAGAAACACCAATGAAAAAAAAATATGCACACCTATGTTCACAGCAGCTTTATTTGCAATAACTAAGATCTGGAAACACAAGTACTCATCAGTAGATGAACGGATTAAAAAACTGTGCTACATTTACACAATGGAATACTAGGCAGCTGAAAAAAGAATGATGCTATTACCCTTTGAGTCAGCATGGAGGGACCTGGAGAGTATTATGCTAAGCAAAATAAGCCAGAGAAAAACAATTAACAGATGATCTCACTTATATGTGGAATCTAATGAACTGATGAACAAAAATGATCCAGAGCCATTGAAACATGCAACAGACTTCCGTATTTCAGAGGGAAGGGAGGGGAGTGGGAAGAGATTAACCAATGAACTTACATGCATATATGCATAGCCTATGGACAGACAATAGTGCAGGGAAGGCCTGCAGAGGGGACAGGAGCAGGGTAGAAGGAGTCATGGGGGGGTGGGGGGGGGGGGTGGGAAGGAGGAGGGACATCTGCAATACTTTCAACAATGATAAATTTAAGAAAATATGTATTTTTCACTTATACAAAGGCTGAATGAATTCATGACCAGCAGACCTGCCATATTAAAAAAAAAAGTTAAAAGTACTTCATAAAGAAGGAAAACAATACCAGATGGAAATCTGGATCTACAAAAAGGAATGAAGAAAACTGAAAATGGTAATTATGGGTAAATATGAATTTTTTCCCTAACTATTTAAAAGATAATTGACTGTTTAAACCAACAACAAAGATAACTTAATTGTGGGGTTTATAATATATGTACAAGTTAAATACATCACAATAATAGGAAAAGGTCAAGAGGAAAAATGGGAGACTACTGTTGTAAGGTCTTTATACTTTATGTGAAGTAATATATCACTTAAAAGTAGATAGTCATGAGTTTAAAATGTAAACAACAAACCTTAATAAACCTCATAGTTTGTGGATTCTTTGGATCTTCTACAGATATAACATCTCTTATGAGTAAGTACAGTATTATTTCTTCCTTCCCAGTTGATGTACTTTTTTTCCCTTTTCTTGCCTTATTGCATGAGCTAGGACAATGGCCAGAGTAGGTGTTCATCAGTTACATACTTATAAATACAGCTGCTGGGGCCCAACCCTTGGAGTTAAGAGTCATCACAACTTGGCCAGACAACCACAAAACACCTATTCTATGGAAATGTGCTTTTTATATTTGATCTCAAGACAATTTATTTTAGTGGCAAATAAGTTCTGAAAACTGTAACACACAAAGGTTATGTTATGTCAAGCAGAATTAGAACTCTCATAACTTAACCTG